ATTACTCGCTGCAAAATTCACACTTCCAAATTCTTTCCGATGTATGCGAAGAATTTGTATCTACTATATTAAAGTAATGTTCGTTTGGTTAAATGAAAATTGGAAAAGTATAAAATAGGCAGGGGTGAGAAAATTTGGGATGGAAGGGTGCGGGGTATATGGTAAAAAATAACAAAACCACCTTTTGACATTGTTACTTAATTCAAACTAAAATGGAAGTGACTAACATATGTTGTACTACAAAGCGAATATAAAATTATTTCCACTCCAACTTTTCCATCTCCCTAATTTTGTCCAAATTCCAGCTGCTCAAACAACGCATATTTTGGGACAATATTAGAAGAAGCGCTGTTAACCTCAGAGCTAACTCAGTTAAGCTTAACTACAGATTTTACTGTTGATTTAGACAAATGTACTTTCTAAAACTGAAAATTTTCTTTTAAAAACATCAGTACTATTAAGTGGTAAAAGAACTTCTATACAAAAGCCATACCTTTACAAGTGATGCATGCGCCTCCTTCACAGTTTCTTCTTTCCTGCACAGTTCTGAAAAATCAGAATAAGCAATTCCTTGCTGTGAAGCCCATTGCTCCAACGCGGGATGTGAAACTACCACAAGTGCCACACAATAGCTATGAAAAGGATCAGCATGCAACATGATATTGTCTGCGTAGGGACTGGTAGAAAGAGATGCCTCCACCTGTATTGAATAAATAACTCGTTAAATATTGGAAGCAGTGCATTCCCCATTCGATAAACCAAATACCATACCTTTCCCAAGGAAACATATTCTCCATGCTGTAGCTTAACTATGTCCTTTTTCCGATCAATGATCTCAATGCAACCATCTTTATGAAATCTCCCAATGTCACCAGTGTAGAACCACCTCATTCCTCTTTCATCAACCTTTATAACAAAAGAGAAGTAGATATATATATGAGGGGATGGGGGATAGTAAACGACAAATATCAACATGACTAAGCAAAATTGTCAAGGACCAGTCTTCTAAAAGCTTAAGAGTTACAAGAAGTTTCATTAATGGTTCTATATTTAACATGTCTCCTCACAGCACTTTAGGCTTAAAGCATGGGTAGAGCACAGGCCCATGTACTTGTGCCTAAATCTGACCTTTGTTTTGAAGAATGGAGGCAGTGTGTCCCAAAACACCTAATCCAATCATATAGGCTTTGATATTAAGTTAAGGAGCAAATCTCCTAATGCTCAGGCTGTTATGTAAAGATTTGGGAATGGTTTTATGTTTTGATAAGAAATATCAATGACAAGAAATGGTGGAAATCATAAGTGATTCCCAAGAAGAAAAAATAAAGAGAACATATATAGCAATACCTTGTAAGATTCTCTTGTTTTTTCTTCATTTTTGAAGTAACCAAGAGTGACATTTGGACCGCCAATTACGATTTCACCACGGGGCATGGGCAAGTCATCAGTTGAATATCCACCTTCGTGCCAGTCAATTAGCTGAGCAAAAAAAAAGTAGCTTTTAATATTCCTTGAGGTTAAAATATATGGAGTTAGATTACATCTGATAAATTCCTACTTTAATATATGAGCAAGGAATAGGTGGCCCAACACGGCCCACAGACGTATCGTCGAAATCAGAGAATGTCCCACCAGCACACGTCTCAGTGAGACCATATCCTTGACCTATTGGAGCACTGAAAATGACAACCAAATAAGTTGGATAAGAAGAGACAATATAGGAAACCTGTAAAGAAAAAAAAAAAAAAAAAAAGGTGCATGATAAAGCTATACAATTTTAGAGTAATTCTAGTATAATTTATTTTAGAAGGCTAATATGTAGGACTTGAATTTTCCATGAAAAATGCACACGAGTGAGAGTTGTTGTTAACATCAACTATCAAGCCGTGTGTTTCTTGTTTACTCAGAACCTCTATAGCGTTGGCTATTTTCGTTGGTTTCTTTAAGAGAATGCCACGTTACTGACCCAAGACAAATGTTGATGAATCTTTGGGTGTCACCAGAAAGGGGAGCACCACCACACAGTATAAATCGAATGCGACCACCCAAAATTGCTTGAACCTTCTTGAACACAAGAAGGTTCCATAGAGCTTTCTCCAAGCCCCAAGCACCAAACCAGCTACCATTAAGTGCATGCAACCTTCGTGCAAAAGCTAAATAAAACAATTTCTTTGACAATCCTCCTTTTGCATTTACCTGCACGATCAGGGTTTAGCCTTAATACAAAATGTAAAAGGTTTATTGAACAACCTCACTCACACATAAACCAATGCATTATATTGTATTCTACAATTGCATCAAAAATCAAATACCTTCTTGAGCACTCCTTCACGTACACGATCAAGAATTGCGGGTACAGCTGCCATCACAGTTGGCATCAATGCAGTGGCATCCCCCCTTTTCCCATTTTTTATTTTGTTTGATGTATCAGTTAAAGTCAAAGGAGTTCCATATCCTACACGACCTCCAACAGCTGCAATCAAATTCTAAAACAAGTACTTGAGATTGTCAAAACATGCAACATAAGAAACATACAACACAATCAAAATGCACTTTAAACTGAAATAATAATTCAACCCTCACTGAAGTAGAAAACCATACCTCAGCTACTAATTCAAGGATATGAGCCATCGGCAAGTATGCTAGATAGACATCCTTTGGCCCAAGGTTAGGAACTATAATCATTACAGAAGAAACTGTTGCCAGGACATTGGCATGTGTCATCATTACACCCTATGAAAAGAAAAATAAAATCAAGAAATAATACAGCCAAAACAGAGGAAGGAAGACAAAAAGGATTAAAAAATAATTAAAAAAAAAAAACGGTCGCATCCAGAGTCTACATTATTGTTTGGGAAAGTCAATCCAGTGAAATGATACAATTGTTGACATTCAAAGAACTAGATATCTCAAAGATGCTTTTAACCTTGGGCAATCCTGTACTTCCACTAGTGTACATTATAACTGCAACATCTGCTGAAAGGGGTAAATCAGCCTCAACAGGATTTTCTCTACCAAGCCTCTCAACATCAGCAAAGGAAGTGATTTTCCAGTCATTCTGAACTGACAAGGTATCAGATGGAATATCATCGTCCATGCATATAACACGTTTCACAGAATCAAGTTGACCACTGATATGTACTAGTGATGTCAATTCTTTGCGCCCACAAATCACTGTTGTGACATCTGTCTGGCATAGATTTTGCAAGTTAGATTACAAAATAGAACAAAAACATGAAATAAGAAGCACATCAATCTTAGTAAACCGTTTCAAAGCATAGGTAATATCCAAAAAGTATATGAAAATGTTGTGAAGAATCTACAGCTAAATTAACAAATATATATGTTGAATTCTTAACAATTACATAAACTTTGAATATCAGAATTGTATGTTGAGCAGTTGAAATGAGAAGAAGAAAAATGAGGGTAAGACTAAAATGAAGAACTTCATCATCAGAAAAGGAAAAATAATTAATACCTTAGTTTACCTAAAAGAATCCCCCTCCCCCAGAAGGTTTTCTGTTCCAATTCTTTCAGTTTTAAATAGTTTATGATAAAATATTGAGTTCTTAACCATTTAGCACTGGAGTCCCCTCTACTGGCCTCCCATCCCTCCTTTCTTTAACCTCCTCACATTTGTTATTACTAAAGTTAAACTAACAAGATCGTTGTTGTCCCCCACCCTAAAAAAAAAAAATTGTTAATACTGTCTTTCACGAGAATTGTGCTGGACATGTATACAATGCCACCTTAACTGTTTCCAATAGCGTTTATTTGGAGTGTATCGGAGAGGAGAGCGTGTGGAATTTTGAGAAGCAGGTTACTGCTAGTGTTTTTCCCATCATATAAGGAGGACGAGTATATCTTATTCCATGTTTAGAAATTTACATTTCCTTCTCTCAACGTCAAAAAATTTGGATATCACTATACAGACCAGATCCGATTCCACCTCTCAGTACTAAACCAATGAACCACGTTAACACCGCACACCAAATGCAGCAGAACCATATAAACATAATATATAGCAATAACATTCAGTCTACAATGATTATATAGCAATAACATATAGTATTATACAGCAGTAACACCTCTCGGTCTATAACGATCAATATAAACAGAGAACGAATGTTGTGTCCATAATGCTAAACATTAAAATCAACCTCTTATCAACAAACCTCATTCAATGAGTGACACAAAGCTTCCTCTCCCAACGACGAATATATGGTCACAACTGTCACATTCCTCCTGAAGCAACCCTGCAGAAGAAATAAAATCATGAGAAACACAAATGTTGAAGGAAAACTCGTCGGAATCAGAGAAGCAAACACCTGCAGTGCAATAAACCAACGTTCTCTGGTTTCAGCGAATATAGCCACGTGCTCTTCCCTGCGATGACCGAGCAACGCCAAACCGGACGCGAAACTCGAGACGGATTCGAAGACTCTCCCGTAAGTGAGCCACTGGTAGTCCCCGAGGTGAAGTTTCTCGAAGGTTCTACCGTCCGGAGATGTCTCCATATCACGCGCGATCAGTTCGCGCGTACCAAGCAGCACGCGCTCCTGATGCTCCCTACATGCGCGCTCGAAGAGCTCCGCCAGCGTGGTGACGCCCTCCCAGGCCGAACTGAGCGGCGAAGTGAAGCGGTGATTCCTCAGCGCCAGGCCGCGTTCGCCGCCTACGTCGGCGGGGAGGCCGCGGCGCTTGACGGCACTGCGGTTGCGGTAGAAGAGGACGAGGAGAGGAACGACGACAGCGAAAATATAGGCATTCATTATTCTCGATCCAGATAGGTGAATTGAATTGGAAGCAATGTGCTATTGTTCTGTGGCGGCGATCGGAGGAAACACTGAGGTGTGAATGGCGTTTGGTGCAATCAGAATGTGGAGGAACGAATGGTTTGGTTTCTGGTTTCAGTTTGGGATTACGAGGGTGAGAGCGTGGGAATGAGGTTAGGTTGCATTGGGATCGAAGAAAAGAAGGGAAAAAGGAGGAAAGAGTAGATGGGGAAGAGAATGTTGAGAGTAGAAATGGGAAGTGCTGTGGTGATCACTGCACTGAGGCGGAGAGACCAAAGGAATGTAGTTAAGAACTGCTAATATCACTAATTTTTTTATTTTTATTTTTTTTCACAGTATGCAAAAAATTGGTACAGCTTCTCTCAAACATATTCTGCAACATTTTATACATGTTTCAACTAATAAATTATTCATGCATTAATTATAATAATCTGGAACTTTAAAATCAGAAGTTACTGTTAAATAACATTAACAAATTATATTATTACAATATATAACTAAATTAAATTTGTTTAATAGCGAAGAATTTATTTAAGTGGAAAATAAATAAATAAAAAATTTCAAATAATAAAGAAAATCGTAAAAACAATTTTTTTAATGTTTAATTATTTATTTGAATCTTGTACGTGTATTTTTTTCTTTTAGTTTTTATTTTTACGGATTAAAATAACTTATTTTGGTTCTATAATTGTATTTTTCTTTTTACCTTTTAAGTTCTTTTTAGCTGAGTTTACTATGCCAATTAAATAAATGGAAGTCATTTAATTTTATCTAACAGTTTTACTTAATTTTAGCTTGCGAAAATTAAAAGAATACAAAAATAGCAATTATAAAATTAAATGAAAATATTTAGCTATCAGAATTCAAATATATATATATATATATATATATATATATATATATTATAAATATGATAACTAATTAGATAATTAAACTCTCTTTTTATCTAATTTGATGCAACAGAGTTAAGTTTTATAATTCAATTTGAAATAAAACAAAAGGGTTCGAAGAGGAGAAAAAAAGGGGGAAAATGCTTAATGCGTCTCAGATTCTTTAAAATAAACTTATTTATTCAGTTTCTTCTTATAAATAATTAATCATCGAAATCAGATTTATATTGTGACATTGGTTTTTGAAACTAAAAAAACTTTAATTAGCCTCTTAAAGGTTTTAAGATTACAATTAAGTCCTAAAACTATTTTTTTTTTTTTGTTCCTACTATGAAAGCTTAAGTAATGGTAATAATATTTAGTGACTAAAAACATAATTTTTAAAAACTAAATGAAATTTTTAAAAATTTAAAGGATATGAGAATTTTTATTTCACAAATTAATATGATAATGATGCACAATTTCAGATACTAAATTGATAATTATATATGATAATGATATACATTTTTCACTCACTTCCATTTCTAATATTAAAAATATTTCATAACACAATTTTTAAACACTAAAAAAAACAGGAAACAATCATGGAAAAGGAGTATTTTCTTATGCACGGTATCACATCTTAAAATATGATCCTATTTATATTACCATGAAAATATCGTTTTATTTATTTCTTTATATTTAATTTATTTTCAATTATATATTAATTGATTTATTTATTTTTAATAATATGATAATTTTTTATTCATTTATATTTTTTTATTTAAATTATTCTTTATTTATTTATTTATTTATTTTATTCATTTATATTTGTTTAACTTATAGTTAGTTACTTATTTATTATTTTAATTAATTTATATTTTTATTTTTTATTTTTTTTAAATAATAATTTGTATCAAAATATTGTAGTTGAAAATTTGATGTCGAGATTCAAATAATAAATACTATTAAAAAATAAATAATTTTAGATTCATTTATTTCGATAAATATAAAATTAATTTAAATATTTTTAATATAAAATAAATTAAATATGTTGATAAAGTTAAATAGTGATCATGTCATTTTTATATTATACTATTTTACATAATATTTATTTTACTTTTTCATATTCTAGATAGAACTTAAAATATTAATTTAATTAGATAAAATCGTCATATTATCCAAATCCTTTATTCAAAAAAGCATAACAAACACTTAAAATAAATCTTATAAACTTAATTTTTATTTTTATATAAAAACAATATAAATTTCACATATATATATATATATATATATATATATATATATATATACTTATTTCCTATGTTTTTTTTTTCATGATTTCGTAAAATATAATTAAATTAATATATAAAAAGGACCCATTTTTAGTATACAAGCAAGTTAGTAATATAATGTAATAAATATACAAACAATTTACTCATTCATTGAATTAAGAAAGTAGATTGTATAAATCTTCTCCATTTTTTCTTTGGGCCAACAAGTAAAGTCCAAATTGAAAAATAATAATTTGCTATAGAAACTGGCCGTGGGCCTCGACAAATAGTTGGGTTGTCTTGTACGCGGCCCAGTTACAACTACGTTCACATGTTATTGGTTTCACTTCCAATAACAAAAATAATTAAAGACAAAAGAAAGAAAGCTGAGAGATATATTTGAAAATGATAATGGAAATGAACGAGAAAAGAATAAATTAAAAAACAAGTACCTTTTTATATTAAATTAATCAATATAATACAAAAGTATAGATAACAATTACAACAAATGTGAAATAAATATATTTTTATATTGATTACAATTTTAATTATTTTAAAAATAATTTTTTACACAAGTTACAATTACAGTTCACACAGAAAACTGATATTAAAAAAACATATTTAGATTTTTTATAATTAAAATCACGTAAAAAGTTAATATTTAATTTTTTTTCTTTCTCAGTAAAAAAAAATACTAATTTGAAACTAAAATTTACAAAATCTGATCCTTATTAAACAAATATCAACATATACTAAATAAAATAAATAATACACAAACTTATTTTTATATATAAAAAATTAATTAATTAAAGTGTTTTAAAATCACGTCTTATTTCAATTTTTTTAGTTTAATAATACATAAGAATTCATCTTATTATATTTATTCTTTGAATAATATATATATATATATATATATATATATATATATATTAATTCAAGCATGATATTTTTTATATTTGTCTTCAACATAATAATTATACAACAACTTAAATTTATTATATATATATATATATATATATATATTAATTATAAATGCATTTATGTCTATAAAATGTCTATAAAAATGGTTAAATAATTATAGAGAGAAATATGTACTCGCTTTAAGTTATTGGAAAGGTGTGGAAAGAAAACGTTAATGGTGAGGGAAATAGTGACCAGGAGTTCTGAATATGAGAAAAAGCAAGATGAATAAATTAGTGAATCAAGTTTGAACAAATAAAATGAATTTAAATAAATGAAATAATAGCCATACTATAAAATCAAATAAAACTTCAATAATGGAATACTCATTATCTGGAAGTGCTGAATTATTCGCCATGGTCTAAGATTCCGTATACTTACGTACTGTGAAGACATTTTCGTCTCTATTCAACACTTGTCACCCACAGTTGAAAATTCTATGTACACAGAAAAAAATTACAACAACCTTAAACAAATAGTGTTTTTATAATGTAGTCGACTAAATAATTTTATTAGTGAAATGAGCGCGTCATTCAAGTGCGAAATCTATTTAGAAAAGGTTACCTGTCTTAGAGTGAAAATGTACAGATAGTAATGCATGGTTTATAAAATAAACTATATTGCTCACGGATCCACTGTGATTATATTTTCAACGTTAATTTTCATGGTATTATTTTTTTATTTAATTTATCATAATTTTATTAATAAAAAATATCTAAATAGGTAAAAAAAAGTTTCTATAAATTATCTCAACTTCAAATTTTAAATAATGTAACATCTTACCGTAAAATCGAAAAAGAATATAACTTCATTTATATTTCTTAATCTAAATTGAGGATTTATAATTCGTGTTTATAAATATTATTTTTTTAATTCATTCACGTATTTTTTTTAATAAAAATATGACAAATTAAATATTTAAAAAGAATAATAATTCAAATATAAGAATTAATATGATAAGACGGTAACTTATATGAATAAAAATACTCTAATTCTTGCACACAACCTATTTATCTCTCAAGCTTTAGTACAATATGTATAGTATGACAAAACGGACTAGCTCGTCCCGTTTTGGTCTGTCCGCTTTTGATCAGCCAAAAATAAGATGGGACAGATCTGACTGATATAGTCATGACGGTATGCAGACCTTGATCGTTCAGTCAAAGTGCAGGTTGATGTGGCTGATCCGCTATAATTTAGAAAAAATTAATTTTTTTTAAATTAATTTTTTTAATAAATTTAATAATAAGATTATTATTTGTTTGTTAATAATTCTATATATATATTATTTCAATTTAATAATATATAAATCAATATATTATTTTAAGAAATTATAATTTAGAATAATAATAAAATTTATATAATAAAAAAAAAAAATATATATATATATATATATATATATATATATATAACATTAAACTTATAAAATTTATATTTTTTATATTGAAAAATTTAAATACCTATATCTTTTTTATTTGATAAAACTTCATATTATTATTGGTTGAGTAATTCTTATACCTTTAATTCAAGTAATAAGGATAAAAATAATCGATACTTAGGATAAACAAGGAGAACAAGAGAGAATATTATATTTCAGGAGGAGAATATTTTCTGTAAGAATGAAACTTTTTTAATTCTCTTTTTAAAATTTTTAACTTTATATATTATCTTTATAATTAATTTTATTACAATAAAAAATTACTTTTTTATTAATTAGGCGGCGGCGGGCGCAGGCTAGCTCGCCCCATCCCACAGGTTGGCCCAACGGGTTGACGGGTTTGGTGGGACAGACCAAAACGGGCTGGTGGACTAAAAACACCAACCCGCCCTACCAACCTGCCCTGCCATATTATGACGGGCGACCCGGAGGCCTAGCCTGTTTTGACATCCCTAATACCACCTTTGAATTGGCTATGGCTATGCAAAAACAATTATAGAAAAACTTGAAACAATATTTTTTAACTTGCTATCAGGAAGGATGATTGTCCTCCATCAAAGACAATGGTGAGAATCAAGATAAATAAAGCTATGTTTATGAATTTAATAATCGGGTTTGATTCAGCATGTCTTCTTTCAGGGTTGATTGGGCACCTTGTTTTCCTCAAGTGAATGCAAAATTCTATCTCTTGCAATGTTTGATATGAAAAGATGGGTTAGCAAAGTATTTTATTTAATGTGAATAATATATAATTTGGAATAATAAAAAGAGTTTGGCTTGAGTTATTGCTATTGCAAAGATGTCAAGGGTCACAGAGGCGGTGGTAGCGCGTTAGCATGGTCCCAGTTTCTGTTCCTTACTTACCTTATTTTCTTTCCCTAAGGTGCTTGTAAGTTTCGGCGCACCTTGCATCCATGAGTTAACTCCCCTTCACTCACGCAATTGACGCTGATGCTGCACATTCTTTTTCAAACCCTAGATTTCACAGCATGTCTATCTATTTCAAAAGTTGCACAAACAAAATCACACATGGACCACAATACTCTGTTGCGCGGCTTAACTTTGCCAAACTTGTACTACCACATTCCTTATTCTTTTTTCTGAAATGTGATATGTTGGGTTATTAATATTATATAGTCACATGACATGTTTAATAATAAAAAAATATTGTGAAACATCTATTCGTTTAATTCTGTAAATTAGTTATTAGAATGTTATACTCATTACGTGAAGTGTGGTTTTGTAGAGCTTGTCATGGAAATGGTAATGTGAATAATTCAGATAGTAATTGTTGTGGCACATGTCATATTTCAATATTAAAGGTTGCAAATACTAGGGGAACGGCACTTGATGGAGACTTTGTGAAGTCGTGCAGAAGCAGTCTTTGAATCCATCTGCAGGCAAGGAAGGAAGGAAGTTGCAAATTGATGTGTTTGTTTTGTCCTTTTACTTTTTCTAAGAGGATGGGGATAACATTTGGCTTATGTTCACTTCGTAAACTCCACCCAATTATGTCATGGGGCTATAAGTTGTAGCCATATGATTCAAAGAACGAGTTGCATCTTGTCACTTTTGTTAGCACAAACCGATCAAGTCAATTTCTCCCAAATTAACTAGGTTTTTGTTGTCCACAGAAAGTTTTGGATACAAAAGACACGAAAATTATCAAATTCCATTATGATATTCTTAAAAACTCTGCACTAAGCTGATTTTATCCAATGATGCAAATCTCAAGTAGCTATGCTTTAAGAACATCACCAACACCCAAATTGCATGAGTGGTCGTTAGTGAAGTCACCGCAGTCCCAAATCAAACCATTTCAAGCAATTAGTTGACCATTATAATTCACATTAACAAAACCAAATGGAGGAGGAGACCAACTTATTTACCTTGTAGGATAAGTTCGAACTTTAAAATTTCTGATACTACCTAATAAAATTTTATTGTTACCATTAACATTAAGTCCTTATATTCTTTTTTATAAGATATAAATATCAATTAGTTGGTCTCTAATTTTTGTTATTAAAAACTTTTATTCTTTTTATTCGACAAAAATTATTAAATTTTTATTTTTTTCACATACTTATAAAATTATTTGTTCCGAATGTCTCGTCCCTTATCCATTATAATAATATTATTCGTTAGCCTTTTGTTTAATATAATGTATACTTATATTTCTTATCTTAGAAATTAAAATCAAGAATAATTTATATATAATTTTTTTTCTTAATCTATTAAAATATTTTTTAAAAACAAAATTAACATATTAGAACCAAATCAGATAATACCTTACAATATAAAATTTTATCAAAATAATATTAATATAACAGAGAGACTAAGACATGTGAAAGAACAAATTTTTATAAAGATCTCTTTATAACCTTCTTATACTTCTCTCTTCTTACTTTTTTTTCTCAGCCAATTTCAACACCCCATTTATCTTCATTTTTACTCTTCGAACCATGAAAAGAAGATATGACCAAATTAAATAAGTTAGTTTGTTTACTTTTTTTATTTATTCTGTTGGTTTTTTTACTCTAAAATGGAAACTGAATACATCTCCAATTGTATAATAAAATAATTAAATAAATAATTCTCATTGTTATCTTCCCTTCTCCATGTTTCTGCTTTCTTTGTTTGTTTTTCTTTACATTATCAAATACATTTGGGGTTTTCCAATTTGTGTTTTAGATTATTTTATCGGTTTATTCTTTTTACACGCATCTCACGTCCCCATGCAAGAGCTGTATGCATCCAATTAATTTCATCCCATGTTGTCCCTTTCTCTGAATGAAGTTTTGCTAGGGAAGGTCCTTCTGGTGGTGGTAATTCCCTGGGGCTCTGTGAGTACAGTTTCATTAATTTATTTGGAAGTACAATAGAGTTTATTTTTAGGAATATTTTAATAGTTTTAAGGTGTAATATATATTAACATGACGAGGGATTCTCTCGCGTGGGAAATCGCTTCAGATAATTTAAGTGTGATGACGTTTATATATATATTATTTATTTTTCAAAAACTATACTTATATTGGACATGTATATTTATAAATATGTGTTAGAATGCTCCATTTCATCCATTAAAGTATATGGAGTTTTAATTTGATTTTAAATTTTAAATAAAATAAAATAACATATTTGAAAATAACTTTGTTTTTATATTGTTTTATTAATCATTTTCTGTTATTAATTTATTTTATATATAATAAATAAGTTACATTTTAATCATGATATATAAATTTATATGAAATAAAATATGAGGATGAGAAATGAAAAATACTTTTACCTATTTATTTATTAAAATAAGTGAGATCTATACCTTTTATAATATTTTTTTGATGTAAAAAATTAAAATGATGTTATTTTATTTTTAAAAGATGTATATGTATTTTTTAATTCTTTTCATTAACTTACATAATAATTTTACTCTCCCTTTTTCAATAATTTTTTAAAACAAAAAACATGATAGTTTAAAACAAATAAATGAATAAATAAAGTACATTAACAAGTCGATTATTTCTAATAAGACGTTTATACGATTGAAAAATAAATAAAAAATTCAACAAAAAAAAGTAACATATTAAGTTATATCAAAATCCTCTTCATATGATCATTTTAAGCTTTCGGTTTTTAGAGAAAATATTTCTGCGGAGTTATAGAATGAAAAATTTAAATGAATAATTAAATTATAATAACTTAAAAAAGGTAGCAATAATTGCAATTCTGGCGCCTCTAATATTAATCATCACACCAAGTTACAATATAATCGTTTGACGTATAATTGTTATGTTTAT